CCACCCACTGGCCTGTGATCTTCTTGCATTCGGCATCATTGCATTTGTTGCGTAAGTCTGAAGAGGACTTTATAGATTGGTATTGGGCATATGGGCTAATATTGGACTATGGACTTGATCTGGACTGGATTGAGATTTCTTAATATACAATTGCTCTTTGATATAAGATTCTGTCTTACATATGAGTGTCAATGAATTTGTTTCTCTAGTCCACCCAGACTAACACAGGTAGCATTTCAGAGCAGAGGATCATGGGGCGGTCTAATCTACACAGCCACTTCAGGAAGGCTGGGAGGTGTGGCTGAACTCACAGGAGTCCTCTTACAAACATTTCTCTACCCTTGAGAGGGTTTAACAAAAGAGACTAAGGTACTCCCTGGGAAAACAAAAGATGGGTTCCAATCCAGCTCGGATGGGGGGTACAAGGTCTGTTCCACAGGACAGAAGTGAGAGAAAGGCCATCGGCAGTGCTTGCTGACTCAGCTCTCAGGGCCTTATTCTGTGCCTTCTCATCACCATGGCACCCAAAATGGAAAGAATGAGGGTACTGCCTGGAGGTCTGAGAGAAGTACTAAAGATCACCTCCTCTCAGGGGAAATGTACTTCGAAGGAAGGTGTGGGAAAATCACTGGACAGGCTCACTCCACACAGATTCCTACCTGACTACCTCCTCCTTCCTTCCTTTCTGCCATGGAGGGGAGAATGTGAAACCCTTCATTCCCCAGCCTCCCTGGCAGTTCCAGGCGGCCTAGCCATGTGACCCAGTTCTGGCCAATGGAATGTCAACAAAAGTTCTTGGGGAATGGTTTCCCTTCTCAGCCACCAAGGCCAACCCTTGATGGGAGAGACAAATATGAACAGGACAGTGTGCTCCTTATCTCTTCTGTCCGCCCAGAATGCAGGTGTGAGAGATGGTAGGACACAAGGTATGGGAAACAGAAGGATTTCTCCCTAGTTGTCTCCCCTAAATATATGCCAAACTTAGCTGCTTGCCAATGACTATACACTTGGAGGTCATCACAAGTAGATCAGTGGTCATTCTCCCTAAGAGCTATCAGCCATCGAGACCAAGCAGACACCACTGTTTATCCCACAAATAGGGTCCACTCCCTTCTGATAAGGATAGTAGTTGTCTGTTTCCTTGTAGGAGACACCCGCCCAAGGATGACCAAGGTTAGGCTGCCATCATGAATCTAGGGTCCGCCCATCTTGTCACATGTATACCCCTAGACCTTCCCATTCCTAT